CCCGACGGCAGAACATGACGGCCTAGCGGTCAAACAACTGGTGGACGTTTAGTCGTCGCGAGAGAGAACGAGCCGGCTGACGTGGTTGTAGAGCATCGGCAGGGTTGCGAAGCGAAGCAACGGGCGCTGGCCATTACAACTCGCTGCCTTAGGTCGGCGTTTTGAGCGCTGCACCCGCGAATGTTACCACGAGCTTCCATGGCTCCTACTCCGCCGCCACCACTTGTTGGAGTCTCTGATTCACAAACACCCCAACATGAAGGCGGTGGTGAGCTGCGAGGTGGAGAGACTCATGTTCCGACCCAACATCAACCCCAAGGCTCAGTACTACGCCGTGTGCTTCCTCAGCCAAGTGATGCTCAGCCACGACGAGGCAGATTTAGCCGCCAAACTCATCACCATCTACTTCTCCTTCTTCCGCGCCTGCGTGAAGAAGAAGGACATCGAGTCCAAGATGCTCAGCGCGCTGCTGTCGGGCGTGAACAGGGCGTATCCCTACGCCGGCTCCGGAGACGAGAAGGTGAAGGAGCAGCTGGACACGCTGTTTAAAGTCGTGCACCTGGTGAAGTTCAACACGGCCGTGCAGGCGCTCATGCTGCTGTTCCAGGTGATGGACTCGCAGCAGAGCATCTCAGATCGATACTACGTCGCTCTGTACAGGTAAGCATTTCACTTCGTTTACACTTTCATCCAAAGCTACTTACAAAACAGAACGGAGCATTATTCAAACTCAAAGCAGCAACCACCCTGCAGGTACATGAGTCTTTCTAAACAAACCACTAAGTGCAGAAATGTTCTCAATCTTACTCCTGTGTCTTCATATTGTCCTGTATGCATTTACCTGGCTATTCAATCCCACTTTATTTCATTTCAAGTGTATTTGAGAGTGGGGTTGCAAAGGGGCGGAGCATTTCCGGGAAGTTTCCATGGGAAGTTAAGCTGGGGAATTTTGGAAATATTCGATTATTTAAATTAAACAAAAAACTTGACATTTCAACAGATATTTATTTTATTTTTTAAGTAGAACAGAACAAGTTTTAATTCTTTTATTGAACAATTATTTGTTTCATTGAAGAACGAAAACAGGAATGTTGAGTTAAATATGACTCATCCACCCCAACCCCACTCATTAACAAAAATGCACCCCCCATCCAAAGATCCCCACAAAGCTCCATTCAAAATGTTAAATGTAAAGAGCCCTTCTCCCTCCAAACAGTCCCATTAAACATGCAAATCTTCCTTCAAGCAATCCTCGGCAGGCTCTTCCTGGGCCTCATCAACATCACTCTGAGTCTTCCTCTTCAGTGTCACTGTCCAGCCTTGTTGAGGATGGCTCTGTGTCCGGCTCAAAGAGCACTCTCACATGTGTCAGCCTGTTGTGAACCTTTGTGTGGTCTCAATAGCCATGCAGTGAGCAGTGTGCTATGGCATGGATATTCAAGTGTTGAATGGCATCTGTTTGTTTTAGTCAAGATTATGCTAAAATGTACTTTCCCCAACTATATTTAAGTTCCCTATGAAGAGCCAAACTTCAATTTAGAAAATTCCCAGTTTATTCCCATGGAAAGTTTCCATCTTTGAAAATTCCCGGAATTTTGCAACCCTATTTGAGAGGGACAAATACAGTTTGTATATATAGCCTTTGCTAAGTCCCGCCCCCCAAATATAGACTGACCAATCATAGCATAGCATGGCGTCTAGAGTGTGCGTTAATGAATAAGAACTAATATTAACTAGGTGAGGAAAATACTTTAATATGAAAAGTCCTCATTTAGTCATGAAATCAGGAACACCAGGGATTTCAATGATTACAGAAATATCATAAAATGATTATTAAATGTCCTCCTCCTCCTCCTCCTCCTCCTCCTCCTCCTCAGGAAGCTTCTGGACCCCGGTCTTTCTTCCTCTTCTCGTCACAGCATGTTCCTGAACCTCCTCTATAAATCCCTGAAGGCGGACATAGTGGTCCGTCGTGTGAAGGCGTTTGTGAAGCGCCTGCTGCAGGTCAGCGCCGAGCAGAGCGCCTCCTTCACCTGCGGAGCGCTCTTCCTCGTGTCCGAAGTGATGAAGAGCAAACCGGCTCTCAAGATCCTGCTGCTGGAGGACGGGGTGAGAGGACACAAAGACGTTAATGTCAAAATAATCTCAGAGCTGGGAATGTTTATGTGTTGTGTTTCAAGGTATATCTGTTGTGTCAAATGTTCATATAATCATTTAAATAATATATGGAGATGATGCTTCTGCTCTGTTTGCCTTTTACTCGGTTAAATAGTAGTTTTAGTCCTATATGACAAGAAAAAAAAACAGAACATCCAGATTAAAGGTGGGGTAGGTGAATTTGAGAAACCGGCTCGAGATACACTTTGTGTTATATTCCATGGAATGCTCTTAACATCCAGATAGCAATGAATATCTGAAGTGCTTTGACAATAAATACATAAAAAACATCATCTGTGGAAGCCGTAGTACTGTAAAAAGCACGACCAATCATCTGAGCCGGCTAAAGTAAACTGGATGGCCTACCTGCCTGTCAGCCTTCCATCTGTGCACAAACTTATCTCGTGCCCTCATTGGTCATGTGCGCGTTCGTGTGTGTTGGAGGAGGGGCTCTGTGAGGAAGTGGCAGATTTTCCCCGGTTGTGTATTTTCAAATTCTAGCGCACTCGAGCTGGTTTCTCTAAAATGACCTACCCCACCTTTAAGGCAACAGCACACGTGTTTAAAGGAAAGAAATACAGATAAACCCAAATCATCTTTGTGTTCCTTCAACTCTCCTCCCATCATCCTCTCTGAGCAGATTCCCCATGTGAAGTGGTTACACACCACATGATGACAGAGCATACACACACACACACACACACACACACACACACACACACACACACACACACACACACACACACACACACACACACACACACACACACACACACACACACACACACACACACACACACACACACACACACACACACACACACACACACACACACACACAACACGAGAGTAGTAGTGTTAGTAGTCGACGACGTACGACGA